CATTTGAATCAGCACGTTCAAATAAACGCTGATACAAGTAGAACTATAACTACTGATGCTCAATTAAACCGCAATGAATGCACTTCTCATGGTTATCCTTGCAACACAGCATCTCCAGATAATAATCACTATGTGGGAACGAATCCTGGCACTGCAAACAAGGATGGTTCTGAAATCAACGACAAACTTCATAAGGGATGTGAGGAAGCTGAAAATTATCACGTGGAAAGCATAAGTGATAAATTTTACTGTAGTTCTGTTAATGATAAACATGCAAATGAAATTTCTAATTTGTATAAGCTCTGCCATGTGACAGATGAAAATTCTGGAACTGAAGGTGTCAAAGATCAAACCCCATTGAGTACAAGTGCATATACTTTAGATGGGACAAATATTGTTTTGAAAGACAATAGTCTGAAAAGTGAAAGATTAAAGCACGTAAAGTCTGTAAGGTCACCTACAGACTCAACATTGAGTACTGGATCACCTGGCAGTAATCATCATGATGAAGTAAAGGATGCTGGCATGGTTGGAGATGTGCAAAATAATGGAGGGAATATCAGAGTCAGTGACAAAAAAGATGCCAAGGTTTATCCAAAGGAAGTAAGGAGTTCAATTTCAGACCGCAAAATCAATCTTTTGGAAAGCAAGATAAAGATGCTTGAAGGAGAGTTAAGAGAAGCTGCAACTATAGAGGTTGCTCTATATTCTGTAGTTGTTGAGCACGGAAGCTCCATGAGTAAGATATATGCCCCAGCTCGGCGCCTTTCTAGGCTCTATCTTCATGCTTGTAAAGAAAATCTTCGATCAAGAAGGGCTGGAGCTGCTAAAAGTGCTGTTTTCTGGACTAGTACTATTGCAAAAGCGTGTGGAAATGATGTCCCAAGGTACGCCTGAGCTAAACATTTTCTATGCATATAATTTTAAGCGCTTTCCCACCAACCTGTTGAAATGTAACAATGAGATTTGGTGGGCAGGAACGAAGGCTAAGAACCGATCATCATCAACCTCTTTCTATTTATAATATTAATGAATATAATCATAAACACAGAAATCAGAAGATAAACTATCATCAATAGCTACTTTTCTGGATAATCATGAGGAATGATTATATAATATCATTTATCCTTTGACACATCATATAATCAATTAAGTTACATTTTTATTTGCTTTGTAGTTCAAGCCTGAAAACTAATTGCATGGTCGTAAAAGGTTAGGGGTCAGTGAAAATAATATTGCCTTTGATCAGTTAATTGAGAAAACAAGAGGCTTCTACAGCTTAAAGAATGTTTCCTTCTTTATTTTCTGAACTTGCCTAGATGGCTCTGTCAAAATACTTACAAAACGAGACTCAGCTTCATCTAAACTTTACAACTAATAGGATATAAGATCAAATGGCGAATGAAGTGAAGTAGATATCTTGCTAACGGTTCAATCTAATGAGTCAGAGAAGTTGCAAATTCTTGCTACGTGAGATGTTATTTTTTTCATCATAAGCTCTGCGAACTGATTGACCTCTGGCATCCAACTGCAGGTTGACATTTTGGTTGTCTATTCTATCGTGTTAAGAACAATTATATGCCAAACCACCAAAAATGTAATGCCTTCTGTTACTGCTGGACCTAGCGTAAAAAGGAGAATTGGGGGAGAGGGGAATGACAAATATAACTCCCTCACTGCGATGGAAGGGATCCTCTCCCAGAAACAATGAAAACACCACTGTTGAGCAAGAAGGTTTTGGTAATTGGGATGACCCCCTTGCATACATATCAGCACTGGAAAAGGTAGAAGCTTGGATCTTCTCTCGCATTGTGGAATCTATATGGTGGCTGGTAATCCCTTAACTATTTCTCCTTCTGAACAATCCTAAAGCAGCATACTAGACTGGATAAACATTAAAATTTTTTTATCAGCATCTTATCTGAATTCTACTTGGTCTATATCCAGACTATGACTCCACACATGCATCAAGTTGATGCGAAGGTCACCAAAAAGGTGTGGGCTCTTCCTCATGGAAAACCTTTGGAAGGATGTCTAGCTCATGTGATCATGAACAGGGGAAGTTTTCACAAGATATTTGGAAGAATGCCTTTAAGGAAGCCTATGAAAAGCTCTGTCCTATTCGTGCTGGAGGGCATGAGTGTGGTTGTTTGCCAGTGCTGTCTAGATTGGTCAGTCTATAATTTTTCCCCTGTTCTGTGGCGTCAAAATGTACTTCAGTTGGTCTTTCTCTTTTGGTCTATTACTGTTCCTGATTTCAAAATTCTCTTTCTATAGAATTAAATACCTGAGATTCCTGGTAACAAGTGAATCTTTAATGGGAACTTTTGGGTAAAATATCAGATTGTGATAATGGCAGTTATGAGGGTTGCCCCTTATATCTGGTCAAATCTCTGATCACCTGAATCAGGGTGGTTGACTTGCAAGGTACTTCACGCTTATGATTTGTGCAAATTGCTTGAGCACAAGGCTCCTGAACTGCAAGTGTTTGTTTTAGATTTAAAATATAAAAAAATCAATTGATCTTTTTCTTCTAATATGTAGTTAAGTTTGTTTTGGCTGATAAAAACTCTTCCTTGCCTCTATCATGACATCAAAATGCTGTTCTTTTACTAAATCTAGATAATGGAGCAATGCGTGGCAAGATTAGATGTGGCTATGTTCAATGCTATTCTTCGTGAATCTGCTGATGAAATCCCAACTGATCCTGTATCCGATCCAATCAGTGATCCTAAGGTTCTTCCTATTCTCCCTGGAAAATCAAGCTTCGGAGCTGGTGTGCAGCTAAAAACTGCGGTATATTTCTCCTACACCTGAAAACTACAATATCAGGCCATCCACCTATGGCTTCATTTAAGCCTAAAAACATGGGTTGATTCATGTATTTCTTTCTGCGGATAACTCTATTTGTTTTGAACGGGGCTCTAATAATGGACCAACAGTATAGCTTTGAGAGGGCTGCCCATAAAATAGTCTACTATGTTAAAGTTGTATTGAATCAGACTCTATATAATGTTGAAAGTGTATTGAATCAAGTTCTGACTTGTGGGCTGCACTTCCCAGATTGGGAACTGGTCTAGATGGCTTACTGACCTATTTGGCATTGATGATGATGACTCGCTTCAAGACAACGATGACCCTGACTTAACTAATAATGATGGGAGCCAGAATGCATCTTGCAAGTCCTTCCATCTTCTTAATGCACTAAGTGAACTCTTGATGCTTCCTAAGGATATGCTGCTGGGTGCATCTGTCAGGAAAGAGGTTTGGCCATGAACTTGAGATGTTTCTATTTTTCCTCATTCACTTAATTGCCAAAAAGTTTTTTTCCTCAGCCATGGTAGTCATGGTTGAAACGGATTTTGTTTGTGAAGGTATGCCCTATGTTTAGCGCACCAGTAATCAAGAGGATTTTAAACAATTTTGCCTCAGATGAGTTCTGCCCTGATCCAATTCCAACTGCTATTTTTGAAGCTCTAGATTCAGAGGTTAGATAACCAAATGTGCACTTATTTTCTTCACAATTCGCTTAATGTCGCGATGAATTTCCTCCTCACTGTACATCATATTTCATGAAATTTGCTTTTGGTTCATTTAAGCAGTGGCGACCCATCATAATTCCATTCCTTTCTATCATATGGTTGACTCCTTAGTCATTGGCTAGTTTGTAAGCCTGGACTGCCTGGTAGAGATGCTCAGCGTAAAAGATCTGTCCGCGTTAGATATTGATTTATTTGACATGCAATGTTCCATTAATTATGTACCAAAATTTCTGCGGAATTTGTTTGTAATCTCTGGATTTTTTTTTTTTTCTATTTTCAATTTTCTACAGGATGATCTCGAGGATGATGGAGTGCGTGTCAAAACCTCCCATGCATTGCGACCCCCACAGTCTATATAACTCCCGCTGTATCTTCCATAGCAAACATAATTGGGGAGGTCGGAAGCGAACCTAAACTGAGAAGTAGATCTTCCGTTCTAAGGAAGGCATACGCCAGCGATGATGAGCTCGATGAATTAAACTCTCCCGTGTCTTTGATATCTAACGATGGTTTCATGTCCAAAGCACATTCTAAAAACCCACTTGGAAGTCGAAAGAAATTCAAAATTCATTTGCTGTCAGATATAAACTCCTTACGGATGTATGGGCGAACAGCGAATAGTCCCGCAGAATCTGCCAAAAGATGCTACTCTCCTGCTGCTACCTTTCCGATATACCACTTGTACAAAAGAAACGGCTATCTCCCCTTAGTTGGGCAGATCAGAAATAACTTGATAACACTATGTAAATTAATAATATTTAGACAATCACTACATACAGCTTAGTACATAATACAGGGTCCTAGAACAGACGTCTGTTAGATTGAGGCCGTTTTATCCTATACGCTTGTTTCTAATTTTGTTTGAAAACAGCTGGTCCCAAAATGGAAATGTGGAATGAAAGTCTCAAATAGATTCGAATATCAGTGGTGGTATGATTTATTTCAAGCGCTGTTGAAATAAGCATAAAGAAAACGATAGCAAGTCCGACCAGAAGTTGAGCCTTTGACCTATTTGAACAAATAGGTAGCAAGCATTTGCATTTTTGATTCCTTAACAATCTAATTCTAAGCAAGCATGACACAATGGAATTGAAAAAATTAAGAACCTGATTGAGGATGCTTGGTGATATGATATCCTCCTTGGCCTCTGCCTGACTGAAAGATGTAGTGGCATCAAGTAGCCCCGGATGCCATGCCATACCTACATCAGAAGATAGCCCCGCAGATTGGATCCGTAAAGTAGTTTAAAAGGGGGCAAAAATACTGGTTCTGCCATTTTCTTGCACTAGAATTTCTGCGTGAAGTCATTCCATCCTGGAACTGGATGGGAAGTTGCGGGAAAGCAGAGCGGCACAAACCAGTTCAGATCCTTAGAACCCAAAAGCCATCGTCACATAATTATTGGATAGCAATGGAACCCAAAATTAACGAGCTGAAGGGGAATAGTGCACAGAAACGGAAAAGAAGATAACATGCTCACTTGTAAAATAATAGTGGTCATACAGGGCCGTATTCTGCCTTTCTTTACTTGAGGCAACACATCGAAGGTAAACTCTCCAGGTTGTCAAAAATTGAAAAGAAAAACGAACAAACAAAACAAAACTTCCGGAAATTATTTAAAAATTTTCCGAATAACTCTGGCTCTCATATTCACAAGTACTAGAACGCCGCAAAGGAATATGAATGCTGGGTGGGAAGATTGATGACCTATTTAGCAGTCAACTTCTGTGTAGAACTAGTAGCATTAATGTGCTTAAGATGCAATGCAGCCAGAAGCCCCTGCCAGTTTTCTCCAGGTCCACCGGCTACTTCAAAATTAATAAGTTTCTTCTGCTTACAGTAGTAATCTTCCAACATCTTGCTCTAGAAAAGACAAAAACAAGACAAATAATGAGACGCAATAACTCATAATAGAACCACATGTAATTGATATCCAAGTGTAACTTCTAAAAAGGAGGAAAAGGTTATCGTTACCTGTTCTCCAAGGTTGCCGAAATTTTCTTTACGAGAACTTCCGCAACGGGATTTTAATAGTTCATCCTGCAACTGCTCAGATGAAGCCCCGCAGCAGCTCATTCGAATATACTCCTGAGTTTTCTTCGCCGAGTTTCTTCCGAGCATTTGAAATTCACAACCAAATCAACATGAACAATTTGATCAAGAATCTCCTGTAATAGATAAGCAACTGATCATTACAAATGCAAGGAGTCAAATTATAGGTATGTCGCTTAACTCCTGGGCATGACATCAGTTACTAGAAAAATAATTCGCGCCGATAGAGAAATAATATATCATGAGTAATTATAACTTCCGAAAGCGGAAACAATTAAACTTACAGCCTGAATCCTTGTACGAGGAATTCCATCCAGGATGAAGCCAGTTTCACCTGTTGAATATCCTTCTTCGAGCCTTCTCGACAGTAACCCGAAAATTATTTCCTCGGGAACAAGCTTTCCTTCGTTCAGGGCATTCGCTATCTGGAATGGAGAAACTTGCGTAAGATACAGGAGCATGACATGTATTGGAAGGGAAAACTATTAAATCAACAGAGCTGAACCATGCCAGACGAACCTTCAAACTATAAAGCAAAATCAACACCTAAACTTGCTCGATTTTGACACGAGCTCGAGGTGTTATTATGTGTGTGTTCCTCTCTTCACAAAATAGGCGCACATAAAAGCATCAGTAACTAAACCTTATGAGAGGATGAAGGCAAAGATAGATAGATAGATAGATAGATAGATAGATTTGGAAAAGAAATATCCAGGAAATTAGCTCATCCCATTTTTCCTCGCATCAACAGTTAATTGTTCCCTCTCGAACGCTCTTGCCGCAACTTTCCGAACAACGAAAAAAAAAATGTAGCACCACGTATTCTGAATTTACAAGAGACGAAATTACCTGCTGGTAGAGAGCAGAGCGTGGGGTCAGCTCCTGCCGAAGAAGACTGCCCATAGATATATGGGGAACTTCAAGAAGCTTGGAGAGCCTCTCGGCAAACACGTGGCGTTTGGCGCCCGACTCCCCAATCATTACCCACTGAACTCCACGTTCCGGCGCCCAACCCGCCGATTCGGCCATGGTTCTAGGCCTGCACGCCTCGTACTCATCTTCGTCATCATCATAGTCGTACTGAACCGCCAAAGCCGCCGATCCGAGAGCTCGGTTGGAAAGGAATCCAAGGGCTCTGAGCGAGGGTGGTGAAACCAGTCTCCTAAGGCTGATCGCGGCCATTGGCAGCGGCGGCGATTGGCAGTAGGGCTTCTGTCCCGCACGACAAGGGAAAACGAGAAGAGCAAGCTGCGCAAGAGGGAAAGAGGACTTTCGACACGAGGCTCAAGGACGATCTCATGTCACCTAGAAGTTGGGGAAATGCCATAAAAAATCGCGTTAATTACGAAAATACTATGAGGATATGCTCATGTACTGAGGAGAGTTCGAGGGAAGCGAGCCTCGCGTGATGTGTTGCCAGCTGTCAATTCCTGGTTGGCGGTTATAAAAGCACTCCCACAGAGATGTCGGGGAGCCCAACCGGTCCGAGGACGGGGAAAAATAATAATAAAAAAAATTTCAATAATTAATTGTAAAAAATATTGGGACAATATCACTTAAGGACAACCCTAACAAGTTTATACCAACTAAGGACCTTAAAGATTCTGAAATTTCATGCAGTCCTTGATCATTAACTTATATTAATTTCTTACACAATGGCAGAATTGCCCCTAAAATTTATAGTAAAAAAGTCACCCCACATTATCACCAATGCTGGTCGTTAGAGACCCTGCTGGCAATGAGGTTGCTAAAGCTCTTATCACTGACAAAGTTACCAACAGCCGATCATCGAAGCTTCAACACTAGTGACACTTTCATTCAAAGATGGTAAAAGTGGTTAAGGAATTTGATTCCATGACTCCTTGGTTAATTTCTTCACTTCTATACTTTTAAAAATTATTAAATTTAAATTTTTTGATTTAATTTAACAATCCAAATTTATTCTAATTTCTTCGCTTCTTTGCAAAAGAGCAAATCCAACCCCAAAACAGAAGGAGTGGAAGTAATACTACCAGCGATCATGTGCGAAGCTTGTTTGAGGTGTCTAATGGTGTTGGAAGTTTATTACTTAAGGAACTGACACGTGTATCTCGATATATTAACATTTTTAAGGTGGCTCTTGACAAAACTCTGTCACTTATAAAGCAAAGAATCACTAAATTCAATTGGGAGAATGATAGAGAAATCTCAAAAGGATTGATTAATTCAACTTAAATCTCAAATGCTAAATTTCATGAATTTGAAAGTTCAGTTCTCAATTTTATAACTTTTTTATAATGAATTTACATTTATATTTCAAATTTTAACAGAAAAAGAAATTTATTTATTCTTCAAGCATATTAAAATTTTAAAAATAAATTATAAATTCATTATAATGAAGTGGTTACGAGTCAAGCTTATAAATTCTTAGAGTTTAAAGCTTGGGACATGAGTTAAATTAATTAGTCATTTTGGAACATCTCTATCATTCTCGCAATTCAATTTGTATGGCAACAAGTGAAGGACCAATTAATTTTGATTTACTTTTCTTTAAAGAGTTCCCTCATTGTCATTAGTCACTGGAGCTCTAGCGACAATCACTAGATCAGCAAAGGAGATATATTTTTTTTTAAGGTAGTGTAACATCCCAATTTAAATTTTAATAGTTAATTTAGGTTAATAAAATTAAAAAAAAAAATATTTAGAGGTAAGAAAATTAGTAAGAGATGATTATTAAATCTAACTTAGGATATAATTCTAAAAAATTAAAAAAATAAAAAAATAATTAAAAATAAATAATAAAAAAATATTATTAAATTATTATTATAATAAAAAAAGGGAAAACGTATCAAAAAAAAAGGGGAAAGAAGAAGAAGAACATATTGCTTTCGGCGCCGCGTCATGATTACATTAAAATAATAAAAAAAAGGAGAGAGAGAGAGAGGAAGAAGAAATAATATAAAAAAAGATGTGGGACCCACTGAATTTTTATAAAACTCACCCGTTTCCTTTCATTTCTTCAATTCTTTTCCTGTGCGCGAGTTGAGGCAGAGAAAAGCGAGTCGCGGTGCGAAATATCTAAATTTTTAAGGTAAGAGTTTTTAATAGGATATTTAGGGTTTGATTTTAAGCTTTTCAAGACTAAGTAAGTGTTCTAAAAATTTTTTTAGTCATCCTTCTTCTTTGATTCTGAGTTTGTAGTGGTAGAAAATTTAAGATCTGGAAGAGGGATGAATTTATGTTGAATAAATATGATTTTTGAGGTTGTCAGTAGTATAATACATGTTCTAGAGTATAAATTTATTGATGATCTTTGAATCTGTGGCTTATGGATCAAATTCTAAACTAGATCTGAAAATATATGTTGATTTATTGAGGTTTAGATGATTATTTGGGATGAGAAATGAATTATTATGGTTATAGGATTATAATTCTAAGCTAGAGACTCAATTTTTAATTTTTGGGTATTTTAGGTACGAATTTATGAAATAAAAAGAAAAATTTGACAATAGAAATTAGTTTAGAAGTTGATTTTTAGATTATCAATGTTTATTGATAATTAAAAGAGGAGTTAAAAATTTTACTTAATAGTATTGACTCTTAGATTTGTATTAAGATTGAGATTAGAAATTATGTTATATTTTTAATTCTATTATTAGAATTATTTTATTAGTTTCAAAAATTGAAACTAATATTTATAAATAATATGTTATTTGTAGATGTATTACTGGTGAAGATTGTAGTGAGAGAGAAATTTTAAGGAATAATTTATTGAAAAAGCCACGAGGTAAACTATGCTTTTAATTTATGATTAGTGTTACTTCATGTTAATTGGGTGATTATGAGAGAAAATTATGAATTTTTTTATATTGTATATTGTGTAATATTATTATGAATTTGTTTGATTATTGTAGGAGGAGGTGTTGGGAGACTTGCTATTGTTGTTGTATTTATGTGCCACGTGGTACGCCCCTATTGGAGCTCAATAGGTGGCTTGTAAGGGTTCGGGCTAATCTACCTTTGGTCGGGTAATTTAGCACCAAATGAGGGCTACGGCTCGAGGTTATTGAGGGATATAAGGATGGTTGTTTGTGTATATTGTAATATTTCTTATATTTGTTGCAATTATATTATTTTTAATTCTCACTTAGTAAGCACACACTTAACTGTTTGTATACACTATCATAAATTGGCTTTGGTTACTGGGACTTTTGAGTCTCATTATGTGGTTAACAATTTCAGGAGAAGAGCCACGAGTGACACGTGGAGGAGTCCAGAGGCTTAGTGGTATAGATCTACTGTCTCTTTTGGGTATTTAATTTATGATTTATGATGTGTTATATTGCCAATATTAGGACTTTTTGTTTATTGTCAATTATTTGAATATATAAATGTAATCATGCCTTTCAAACTATTTCTATTTTCGGTACAATTTGGATGACTGTAATTTTAATATTTGGTTTACTTTGAATTGGTTAAAATGGCATGATTATAAGGCCAAATAACTGGCTTATGTTGAAAATTTATTAAATTGCTTATTTTACTCGTTGGGAGTATAAGGATGGACAAATGTGATTTAGTTTACTTGTTGGGAGTATAAGGATGGACAAATGTGATTTAGCCTAATGGCATGTGGGAAGTAAAAATTTATCTAAATGTTATAGTGTGTGAGTTGAAGTCAATTATAAAATATTTTATATTAAAATTATTGATATAAAAATGTGTTGGGTGGTTGTAACCCAACTATGGTTGAGTTAAATTATTTAAAAAAAAAACTTTTGGTGTGTTACAGGTAGTCAAGGAAAGGTTTGAACTCACAGCTCTTTAATTACTCAAAATGATTGCCAACCACTAAATTTTAGTTATGTGATGCAAATCTTTGTACATATTCTTAATTTTATTTTCATCTTTCATGTCAATAGTTGTCAAGTGTTCAATGATTACTTGTCATTTTATAAATTATTACTTATTAAATTATTAATAAAATTTGCTAAAAAATTTAATATGCATTAATTTTTATAAATGTTTGCTTGTTTTTATTATAGAAATTTACATGTTAAAAGCTTGCTTGAATTTTTTATTTTGCTACAATTTATTTATCAAATTATTAAAATAAATTTTTAAACTAATAAGAGAATGTTATTTCACAAATGGTTACTTGTTAGATTACCAATAGGTTTGTTCGAAAAATTAATTTGCAATGGATTTTATAAATGTTTAACAAGTTTTTGTTACCAAGAGTTTACATGTTAAAAATCTTGTGTAAACTTATTATTTTACTAAAATTTACTTACCAAGTTATGAAGAACAAATTTTAAAGATAGTAATAAAACTTATCATATGAAACTTATCATTTTATAAATGATTACTTATTAAATTATCAATGAAAAATTTATAAAAAAAATAATATGCACTGGTTTTTAACAAATTCCTATTATTAATTTAAAGAGTAAACTTTCAATGTGTGAACTTTTGGTAATAAAAACTTATTAAACATTTATAAGATCTAGTGCATATTAAATGTGTTTTAACAAGTCTCAATTGATGATTTAATAAGTAACCTTTTGTGAAATGATAAATCTCATTATAAGTTTTAAAATTTTTTACAAAATAACAAATTCATACAAGTTTTTAACACGTAAATTTTTTTTTCTTGTAATACAAAAAGTAAATATTTATAAGAATCATCACATATTAAAATTTTTTAACAAATTCACATTGATAATTTAACAAGTAAACATTTGTAAAATGGCAGGTATTACTTGCTTTGGAATTTTTTTTTAATAATTTGACAGGTAAATTTTGTAAAATAATAAGTTCATATAGGCTTTTGATATGTAAACTTTTAATAATAAAAATAAGTAAACATTTATAAAAATTAATGCACATTAAATTATTTAATAAGTCTCATTGTTAATTAACAATTAGCCATTTGTGAAATAACAAATAACCATAAAGTTCATAACAAATGTTATTATGAAGAGTGAAACAAAGTTAAAAATATATATAAAGATTTGCGCTATAAGTTCAAATCCCACAACCACCTTGAAAAAAAAAATTAGTTCACCTCCCTTGCCTATTTGATTATTGGCGTTGGAACTTCAGTGGTCGATGACAATGGGGGAATTCTTTTAAAAAATAAAAGAGAGATAATTTTGTCTTTTCACACTAAATTTTAATAAAAAAAATAAGGTATATATCCCATAAAACATACTTATTTACATAAAGTATTGTAAAATTTAGAAATCGCAGCAAATTTTTTAAAACCCGAGTGTAATTTGAATTTAAAATATAAAGACAATACTGTCCCCATTAAAAATACTAAAATTACAA